TGAATAAAAGAAGATTCATTTGGAATGAGGCTTTTTCCCTAGCTTGTGCACCCTACACCCTTCCAAATAAAAACATTGTGGGCAAAGATCATTCCCACATCTATCCGTCCCCCACCTCCTTGAAATTCCTTTAAACCATCAAGGTTAACCTGCTGCTGTCTACATATGCCCTACACCCTTTGTATTGTAGGTTCTCTGGTACAGATAATCAAAGGAACTGAAATCTCTTCACCTGCCTGGCACAAACCTCACACACGTCGGTGCAGAAATATTTCACTTGAAGGTCAGGCGAGGCCACTCTTCATCTCATCCTCTCTCAATATTCCCAATATCTGTCAATGGTCCATGTCGCTCACTGGAGCTCTTTTGTCTCTAAAATTTAGAAGGGCATGGGCTCAAGGCCCATCCCAGGACTCAGTGCCTTATGAAGGACAGCATTTCAATGCAGTGGAGGGACTGCTGCACTGCTGGAAGTGCCACACATATTGAAGTGGATGTCAAAAAGCTCAGGCACTATTCAGAACAGCATGGATGTCTTATCTTCAAACACTGCCATCAAAACATATTAACTGGTCATTTATCTGATTGCTCGGATTTTGTTGTGAGCAAAGGACTGCCACAATCTTCTTCAAAACCATAGAGGCTTCAGTTCAAGTGTCATTCCTTGGCTTCGACACACTTTCTGAGAGCATGCAAGGGGCTATCTGAATCCAAAAACTCTTTTCCTTGCTTTGATGTCCAGTCTGTGATGAGTTAGCTGGGTTCAAGCTGTGACAAGGGTCAATCACGCCAACAGCTCCATGCTCTAAAAAAGGACCATTTTCCATTGCTCCAAATCTGGTTTTATTTATTTGATCATGAAAAGTGGCCTTGGCAAGGCCAGCATTCATTGCCCATCCTTTCTACATGTGTGTGGATACTGGTGAATGACAGCATAGGATTTTGCTATGATATCCATTAAGGTTGTATTTCTTGTGGCTATTGACTATAAAGATCTACACACAAAAACCAGCTGCTATAGTTATGGCACGGAAGGTGGGTAGCACTGCAAGGAGTATTGCAGAAAGAAGTGAACACCTTTCAAGAGGGGGTGAAAACTGGAGAACAAATCAAGCACTGAAAATAAAACTTTGTAAAATAAGCTCAAGACTTTCAGCATCTTCACTTTTGCTTGCTCTGAACACACGTGCGTTTTCAGTTAGTAATCTTTGTCTATTAGAATGCCGAAAATCTGTTTAGTACTCACTGTCTACACTTGGTGGGCTAATGGCTTGCAGTGAAATGGATTTCATCAGCGGAGGAACAGAATGTAGCTGCACTCTCATCGACTTCTGTAAGGCAACAACAGATTTGCTTCTGAATTTCCTTTTGTCTAATGTTCTGCAAAATTACTGGCAGGTTCTAAAACTCCCAAATACATACTGAAATTTAATTGCATCAGCATTAAAACCTATATTCTTATCTGCACAACGGATGAAGAGAGAGAAAATATCAGTCACAATCAGTCAACAGAGCTACTCGTGAGGTTTACACTGTCTATACCAAAATAGCCGAAGAAGTAATTGCAATGCAATGCAATGCAAATGTGCTGAATATTCACTACACTTAAACAATGACCACACTTTAAAAGTACTTCACTGAGTGTGAAACATTTTGGAACATCATGAGACTGTGAAGTATGCATGTACAAATGCACATCTTGGTTTCTTCTTCTCACAGTTCACTAGAACAGGGAGGTGATGGTCTAGTAGTATTATTGCTAGACTATTAATCCAGAGATCCAGATAACATTCTGGGAACCTGGGTTTGAATCCCACCATGGCAGATGGTGGAATTTGAATTCAATAAAACATCTGGATTTAAGAATCTAATTATGACCGTGAATCCATTGTCAATTGTCAAGGGAAAACTCATCTGGTTCACTAAAGCCCTTTAGGGAGGGAAACCGCCATCCTTACCTGGTCTGGCCTACATGTGATTCCAGACCCACAGCAATGTGGTTGACTCTTAACTGCCCTCTGGGCAATTAGGGATGGGCAATAAATGCTGACTGAGCCAAAGACACCCTCATGCCGTTAATGAATAATAAAAAAAATTAATCCAGTCTTCCTGAATTCAGCCAAATTCTTACTCTGCCATCAATATGGGCCTTGACCTTTCTAGCAAATCACCCAATTTTAACCAAATAATACATGAGTTTAACAGTTCTGGTCATGGTCACAGGACATTCCTTTAAAAGTGGCCACTTTACCGGTTTTTCAAACACACTGCCTTCACTGTGGTCAGACTCCATCTCTTCCTCGGTCAGTGAGACGAGTGATCCGCGCTCATCCAAACTAACGACTGGAGCTCGCCGAGGGTCGCGGGAATTCTGCAAGACAGACTCTGCAGTGTGCGATGTTTCCTTGATCACCTCGCTGTTATGCACCAGTCCTTCCAGGCTGTAACTGAACGCACAGGACATTGTCAATTGATTACAATTTTGAATTAATTTGGAAATTCGTCTGCTGCAAATCCTCAGTATTTCTCCACCAATACTCCCATGAACACACTGACAAGTGCAAGAGTTAATTTCTACCAGCAGTTAAGTTTGCAAACAGGAGAATAATAAGGCAAAATACATATACAGGAACACAGCTCAGGACAGAGGATGAGTCAACATCAATACAATCATGATAGAAAACGGACAAGAGGGGTGAAGGCAGGCCAAGGAGAAAATATTGAGGAGGCATGGAGGCTGAGGGCATTACTTAGAGTATAGCCAATGGTGGATTTAGAGATGAGAAGCCAGCTACATTGATGGCCACTGGTTTACTGGTCTAATACCTGGGAATGAGTGTTGTCTTATCAGGCAAGGTTAGGCAAGTTAAGTTTGAATTTGTTGGGGCTTAGAAAAGTAAGAGGCAACTTCTTTGAAGCATACAAGATTCCCAACCGGGTGGATGCGGACAGGATATTTCCTTGTGGAAGAATCAAAAACTAGAGGGCACTGTTTGAAAATAAGGGGCTGTCCATTTCAGACAGAGATAAGGAAAGATAGCTTTCCTCACAGAGGGTCCTGAGTCGTTGGAACAGTCTCCCTCAAAAACAGTGGAAGACAAGTCCTTGAGTATTTTTAAGACAGAAGTAGGTAGCCTTGTAAGGGGTGAAAGGTTAGCAGGTGCTGCGTGGCCTGCTGTGTTCATCCAGCTCTACACCTTGTTATCTCAGATTCTCCAGCATCTGCAGTTCCTACTATCTCTGAAAGGTTAGCAGGAGTAGGCAGGAATGTGGAGAAATCACAGCACCGATGACCTTATTGAACGACGGAACAAGTTCAAGGGACTGAGTGGCCTATTTATGCTCCAAACTTGAATGTTTGTATGTCAGGTGAATGCATGTCTCATGAGCTTAAGGGCAGGAGAGACAGCCAAAGGTAAAGAGAAGGATCAAGTCCTTCATCTTGATGACCCTTATATGATGTGAAGAGGATGAAAGGGCGCAGGGTATTGGTGAAGATGCAATCCCAGCATTCTGGCCAATGGTAATTTGTAATGACGTCTGGAGGCTGAGAAGGAGGTCACTAGGGCAAACAAGTTAGAGAAATAAAACAAATACTCAGTCACTAATGGACCCTTCTCTACCAATACCAAGGGTGCTGTCTTTTGGTACAACTGACACAATCAGTGGAAGATCGTCACCAATTAAACTCAGGAACAGTAGTTATACTGTGATGCATAATTGGAGCACTAACCTAATTGGCTCATTTCCAGATGCCAACTGGCTTGCTGTGCATTTCTGGCATTCTGTTCTTGTTGTGGAAAATTGTGTTTCTTTTGGCAAGCAGGGTCAAGGACAGGAATAATAATCTTTATAAATGATTTAGAAAGGAAATATTTTGCTTATGCGTGGGAAAAGCGAAGGACAGCGATTAGCAACTAGATCGGTGACACAATCCTGAGATGAAATCTATTATGAAGGAATTCAACAGCTTCAAAAACAAAAGCACTTTTAAACACAAAATCTCAGCATGTGAGAGGCTTCAGATTCTTTAGGGTTGGGGGGGGGCCCCCGGGGGGACCACCCCCCCCCCCCCCCCACAGCCTTGTTTTTTT